GTTCGTGCCCCGTGTAGCACGGGGTTCGAACCAGCAGGGTTTTAAAAATGGCGGCTCCCCGCTTATGCAAATGAAGCCCGGGAAATTCAAATCCCGGGCTTCATTTGCAAGAGCGGTATGCCTGCATCGAGGTACTGTAGACATACCCTAGGATAGTCAAGACAGAAGCAGACTGTGAGGGACTCCAAAAAGATCTCACCAAATTGTGTGATTGGGCAACAAAATGGCAAATGAAATTTAATGTGGATAAGTGTAAAGTAATGCACATCGGGAAAAACAACCCCGACTATAGATACAGTATGGTGGGGGCTAATTTGGCTATCACAAATCAGGAAAGAGATCTTGGAGTTATCGTGGATAGTTCTCTGAAAACTTCCACACAGTGTGCAATGGCTGTCAAAAATGGAAATAGGATGCTAGAAATTATTAAGAAGAAAGGGATAGAAAATAAGACACAGAATATCTTACTGCCCCTGTATAAAACTATGGTACGCCCACATCTTGAATACTGTGGTCAGATGTGGTCTCACCTCAAAAAAGATATTTTGGCCTTGGAAAGGGTTCAGAAAAGGGTAACTAAAATGATTAGGGGTTTGGAACGGGTCGCATATGAGGAGAGGTTAAAGCAACTCTGTTATAGTCCTAGCCTTCACAGCCTCCTCTGGCAAGGAATTCCACAGGTTGACTAAGCGCTGTGTGAAGAAGAACTTTCGCTTATTAGTTTTAAACCTGCTGTCCATTAATTTCATTTGGTGTCCTCTAGTTCTTCTATTATGGGAACTAATAACTTTTCTTTATCTGCCCTCTCCACGCCACTCATGATTTTATAGACCTCTATCATATCCCCCCTCAGTCTCCTCTTTACTAAACTGAAGCATCCCAGTTGCTTCAAGTATTCAAGATGTGAGCATACCATAGTTTTATAGTTCGCCTCCTCCTTCTTCCCCTGGCTTCCCCCTTCCAGCTCCCTCCTCCCAGGTTTCCCCCTCTCCTCCACCCTCTCTCTTCCCCTCTCCCACCTTCTTTTCCCAGTCTCCCCAGAGGTTAATTCCGCCCCCCCCCCCAATTTTGTTAAATAAAGAGAGTTTCTATTTTTGAACACGTGTCCTTTATTTTTTACATCAGGAAGGGGGGCTAGGGAAGGGTAAGTGGAAGGAGGTGACGGAGGAATGGGGCACAAGCCCCCGATGGGGAGGACTGGTGTGGCTCTGCAGGCTCCTTGGGGTGGAAGCTCTCCTGCAGGGCCTCCTGGATCCTGACAGCCCCCCAACTAACTCCCCCAGATGGCAGCCTGAGGCAAGTGCAGCCGGGCTGATGGCCGAATGGTGTGATGTGCCGAGTGCGGGCACTCAGGGCACTCCAAGACAGGACTGCTTTGCTGTCCCTCATCGAGTTAGACAAGCAAGTGGGGAACCCTGAGAACTGTCTGTTCGGGGTGGGGGTCGGGTCCCTTTAAGCACAGCCCTCGGCTAGCCTGAGGCAGCAGCTCCACACTCTAAGTCCTAACCTGATGTCCTGGCGGCACTGGTTCCGGCCAGCCTTAACTTCGGTTCAGGGTTCACTCAATGTGGACATGCTATTTCAAATTAGCAAAATGCTAATTCGAATTAGTTTTTAGGTCTAGATACACTAATTCGAATTAGCTTAGTTCAAATTAACTAATTCGAATTAAATTAGTTCGCATTAGTGCTGTAATGTAGATATACCCAGAATGTTTACCTAGTCTGAATTAAGCCCTCCGCTAGTTCGATTTAAATTTGAACTAGCGGTTTGCATGTATAGCCGCTATTAAAGTTAATTCGAACTAACGGCTGTAGTGTAGACATACCCTGATTTCCTTATCTCTTCCTTGTCAAGTCCTTTTGCTTCCTTTATTATAAGACAAACAATTCATTTTTTAGCTACAGAATTTCCCATATACTTTATGAAGCACAGTAAAAGTTTACAAAATTGCAAATATAAGGGATTTAAGATTTTTATTATAAAGTACTGTCTGAAAACACGTAATTCCTCCAGAATGGGTATTTGTACACAGTATTTGTTTATGACTTAGAAGATAAACAAAATATTTTCAAGAATATGGTAATTGTATAAACCTGTGAGAGCATGAATTTTTGGGAAATGGAATTTTTGGAAAAGAACACATGGACTATTATTTTACAAAAACAATTCATGTGGTCCAGTCAGATAAAATAAATGAACCACTAGTCCAAGGAGATGGGAGTCCTCTTGGCAACTATGCCAACCCTGTTCTCCAAAGATCACCAGCAACACATACCTAAAAAATTGTGCTTATCCCATACTCTTCTTCAAAATGTACCTCTTCCCTTATGCAATAATACACATTCATCTCTCAAACATAAGCAACATTTTGCTATTGATTGAATGACAGCATTCCAAATGCTTCAACAATGCTACTGTAATTCTGTAGTGTATGGATTATAACTGTGTCGTTGTTTTTAATAAAGGGGAGTGAGGAAAACCATACTATGCAACTGTTAAACCAAAGAGAAAATGGGGAGGAGGAAAGAGATGAAACATGTACTGTTGACTCTTAAAAGCCTGTGAACTCACAATTTCCCCCAATTTTCTCAAGGAGGTTGTGACAGATAGCGGCACTAGTGTCTGAAGCAAAGCTTTATCAAACAAGCCTAATTCTGTTATACACAGTAGGCAGTGCAGATGAACTGCCTCTAAGAGACAGCAAAATACGTGAAGTTTGTTCACTGATTGGGTGATTGCCCCTAACCCTTTCTTGAAGGAGAGGGTATATGATTTAGCAAGAAACCTAGTTTCACTCTTAAATATGAATATATGACTGAGAGTCTGACACAAATCTCTTTATTTTCCAGGGAAGAGAATGAGCACTTTCTAGTACATATGTAGAGCAGAAAGGGAAACTGAAGTCAGGTGTAAATATGAAGGCTCAACGACATGTGTTTGTTACCAGATCAATTAGAATCTGTATTGCTAACCTATGCCCTGCTCCTATTTTTAAAGACCTAGTAACAGTCCAAAATGTTCGGCATGCAAATGTTAATGAAATGTTTTGTGGCAATATCTTTGTACAATAATGTAGGCTTTATTTACTAAGGAGAAATCCTGCAGTGGAGTGCGGCAGTTTCGTGAGAGGAGCGATGAGTCTTGTAGTGGCATATTTAAAGTGGAAAATGTACGTAAGAGTCAGTGTGACAGTGTCTGGGAGTGGAGGGAAGCGTGATGGAGGACGACGACGTTCAAGAGAGGGAATGTATAGGTGTGTGCAATGTTGATTGGACTGTGTCCATGAGGCGACGATGTTTGTGATGAAAAGGAGCAGGTAGACAATGCTGGATGGAGGGAGGACAATTTTTCTGTCTGCTTGGGAAAGATGAATAGTTTTGGAAGGAAAGTGAGTATTTATAAAGGAGAGGTAATGGTGTGGCAATGGATGCTTTGTGTGTAGGGAGAGAGAGGTTTTTGAAGGGACAGAAGAGATGCATAGTGAGGAATTTTAAGAGGAAAGGTTGATTGTCAAGGGCAGGAAGGTGAGCATTTTGAAAAGGGGAGCAGCTGTGGAGAAGTGACAGGCTGTTGCAAAGACAAATGCTAGTGTTAGTGGGAAGTTGAATGGGGGCCATTGGGAAAGATCATTGTGTGGAAGAGGCAAAGGTGATAGTGTTAGAAGGGAATGTTTCCCAATGGGGAGTAGGTGACAATGTCCTTGGTGTGTATAGTTGCCCTGGGTGTGAGTGCCTCGGTGTGCGCAGAGGGGCAGAGCTGCCACCTGTTCAGGTTTTCCCATGATTGAGGCCTCTGTTCTGGGCAATCTGTAGGGTACCCATAGCCCACCGCCAGCAGTGCAGGTCTCTGGGCTCAAGATCATGCCAGATGCTCTGGCTTGTGGGACCTGAGAGGCGGCTGCCCTAGTAGCGGTGGGGGTGCGTGGTGACTGTGTTCCCGCTATGACAGAGCCCCGGTGGGGGAGGGGTCAGGTTTTCCCATGATTGAGGCCTCTGTTCTGGGCAATCTGTAGGGTACCCATAGCCCACCGCCAGCAGTGCAGGTCTCTGGGCTCAAGATCATGCCAGATGCTCTGGCTTGTGGGACCTGAGAGGCGGCTGCCCTAGTAGCGGTGGGGGTGCGTGGTGACTGTGTTCCCGCTATGACAGAGCCCCGGTGGGGGAGGGGCACAGGGGTGACGGCCCCCAGGAGGGAGTGCGGGGGCGGGGGGAGGCGTCTCGGTGTCTGTGCCGCGTGGCGGTGGCAGTGGCTGTCTCGCGCCGCTCGCTCCCCCGCCCGGCTC